TTTTTTTTTTTTTTTTTTTTTGTATTTTTGGTAGAGATGGGGTTGCATCATGTTGCCCAGGCTAATCTCAAACTCCTGAGCTCAAGTGATCCGCCCGCCTCAGCCTCCCAAAGTTCTGGGATTACAGGCGTGAGCCACCACGCCTGGCCACCCTCATATCCACTTTTAAAAAACTTTATATTATAGAACATTTCAAAGATATACAAAATAGTGAAAATAATGTAATGGGCCATCATTAGACTTCAACAATTATCAACGTGCGGAAATTCCATTTCATCTATTTCTCTCTAACCCTTGTTCCCTCCCTTGTTTTCTACCACTTCTCTGGATTATTTTGAGATGCATCCCAGACTTCGTATCATTTTATTCATACATATTTTAGTATGTAGCTCCAAAAAAAAAATTTTCTTTTTGAAAACATAACCATGACATCCTTATCACACCTAAGAAACTTCCTTGATATTGACAAGTATTCAGAGTTCAATTGTCTCCAATTTTCTAATTTTTTTCCACAATTTGTTTAAATTAGTATCCAAGCATGATCCACACCTGCAGTTGGCTAATATGTCTATTGGCTCTCTTTTCATTTACAAGCTACCCTGCCTTCTTTTCTTTTTTTTTTCTTCTAATTTATTTGTTGAAGAAACTGGGCCATTTGTCCTGTTGAGTTTCCCACATTCTGAATTTTGCTGATTGCATCCCTGTGGTGTCATTCAACCTGTTTCCCTAAGCCCTGTATTTCCTGAAAAGTGTCTGTTAGATCTATAGCCTTGATCAATTCCGGCTTGATATTTCGACAAAGTTATTTCATAGGTGGTGGTGTGAGTTTTTGCATCTCATTAGCGGCACATGTCTGCTTCTCTCCCATTTTTGTAATGTTAAGATTAATTAGTGGGTTTGGGTATTGCCATCTTAGTCCATCCATTAGAGAGTTCCCCATCAGCATTTCCCCTAATAGTTTTAACAGCCATTGATGACCAGTGCTTGGATACATTATTTCTATGATTGCAAAATTATGATATTCTAATTCTATCATTCTTCCTTCATCTATTAGCTGAAATGCTTCTCAAAGAAGACCTCTCCCTCAACAACAATTTAGTTACCCTGAAATACAGTTCATATACAAAAGACAAATGCTCGATTCTTTCCCTTTTTAAACCAGTTTTCAGAGTAATGAGTTGGTTTCCTAGCAACCTGTAAAGGTGACCTATGAGGATTTTTTTTTTCTGGTATAATTATAAACTCATGGATTTTAACGTATTTGATGTATTTCAATCCAGTACAGATGCTTGAATTATTCCATCTCTGAACAGTGAGTTTCTTTCTATTGGTTCCTAACCTAAGCATTTAGGACACAACTGAGTCATCTCTGAAATCTTCCTTACTTTCTAGTATGTCAAAATGTCTACTTCTTTTCTTTTCTTTTTCTTTTTTTTTTTTTCTTTTTTTTGAGAGAGAGAGTCTCCCTCTGTCATCCAGGCTGCAGTGCAGTGGCTCAATCTCAGCTCACTGCAACGTCCGTCTCCTGGGCAGAAGTGATCCTCCCACTGCCTCACCCTCCCAAGTAGCTGAGACTATAGGCACTTACCACTATGCCCAGCTAATTTTTGTTTTTTTTTTTTTTTTTTTTTTTTTTTTTTTTAAATAGAGTCTTGCTCTGTCGCCCAGGCTGGAGTTCAGTGGTGCGTCTTGGCTTACTGCAAGCTCTGCCTCCCAGGTTCATGCCATTCTCCTGCCTCAGCCTCCCGAGTAGCTGGGACTACAGGCACCCGCCACCACACCCGGCTAATTTTTTTGTATTTTTAGTAGAGACGGGATTTCACCATGTTAGCC